CATATATATACATATATATACATATATATATATTTTTTTTTTAAGCCCTGGTGCTGCTGCGGGAAGCATAGACATTTTGGGAACGAGCCGAACATCCATTTCATACGAGCCGTTACCGGGGACGGGGCAAAGGCAAATGGCCCTTTGCAACCCCCACACCGACAACCAGAAGCTGATTTCGGGGGAGGGGGGGAGGGGGGGGGGAGGTTACCCGAAATACCGAAGGAGGAGCGGAGAGGAGAAAAGCCCTCCACGAGCTTCAAAGCCGTCCTCTCCCAGGGCACCGCAAAGCGACCGCACCGCCACCATCTCCGCGGTGTGCAGCAATATTTGGGGGTAACTTTCCAAATGACTGCTCACGCTCACGCCAGCCCGGGGACGGCGATTCCCAGCGACTCTAGCTACCTTTTGAAATTCCCGGGGACGGCGATTCCCAGCGACTCTAGCTACCTTTTGAAATTGCACGGGGAATAAAATCCTCCCTCGGTCGAATCAAATAAACACAAATGGGAGAAAATCATCTTCCTTCAAACGAACAAACAAACAAAAACCCGCAAGGACTGAAATTAAGGAAAACATCAAAATAACGCCTTCCCCCTTCTTTCTCTGCCAGTACAGAAAATGGCCTTCTGAAGAGTTCAGCCTCATTTAAAATGGAATGGTAATACGAATGGAGGGGTTTGCATCGTATATCCACATTTTCCAGAGGTCAACATTTCACCGCAATATTTCTTATTTTTTTCTTTTCTCGATGAGGAAATGTTCAAGGCATTTTGCCTCCTTCTTTCCTCCCTTTCTTGTTCTCCCCCCCTTTTTTTTTTCTCTTCCCCCCCTCCTTTCTTTCTTTTGGTACCCACAAAATGCTGCAGAGATTGTCTGGAGAGGAGGGTGACCGAGCAAAATGATCTCTAATTAGCAATGCCGAGCATTTTTTCTATTGTAGCAGAATTCCTTTGCAGGCAAATATTTTCAAAGGTCTCCTCACACCTGACAACCTGGATAATAAAAGACGCGCTTTAATCGCCCCTTCCTTGAAGCCCAGTTTTGGATCATGCTCGGGACTATACATATTCAATACATAATATTTAAAATTTGCCTGTACAGGACCAAAGTGGTCATTAACTTGGAGATTGTTTCATGTCTGTAACTCAAAAAATTTTCAGCAAAGAAATGTTGAATAAAATGAACCTGAGAGCAAACCATCAAGAAGAACCAGCGAAAAACCCAAGGTATTAAACAAAACCAGCAACGAGCACACAAAAACGCATATCGGCGTGGAGGGAAACCTGTTCTATTTTAAGTAACTTAACATATATAGACATTTTTTGGAGCCGCTCGTTTTTTGACGGCGGTTCTCCGAGCACAAAATTAACGATCGGGCGGTGGGACTTCGTGATTTCTTAATAATTTTTATTTGTTTAATCCCCGCATTCGGGTGGATATATTTTTTTTTAAGTTAGCGTTGGGTTTTGTTTGTTTTTAGGCTGCTCTGCAAATGGGAAAGCCTCCAAGTTCCCAAAGGGAGCCCTTCGCTTGTCCCCCTGATTTTCTGCAAAAAAAAACTTTCCAGCTAGATCTCTCGCAAGCCATTTTGTGCGGGTTCTTACTTCTCTGTCCCTCGGGGAAGGGGGGGGATTTCTTAGCACTGGAGTCCCCAAATTGTCGGTGATGCAGGGGATATCCGACAAGCGAATACAAATGCAGTCGGTTCGTGGGGACGGCGAGAACAGGGCGGGAAAAAGGAGGGAGAATAAGAGAGGGGGGGGAAAAGCGAAGTACGAATGAGCATGCACTGATTTACGAAAACGAACAACAAAAGTGATTTAAGAGGAATAAGAAATCGGCTCCCTTTCCTGCGGACCCCCCTGCCTTGACAGCGTGAAGAACCGCGAAGATGCCACCGGGGAGGAGGCAGAGGGAGCGGGGAGCGGGGAGCGGGGGTCCCTCCGCCGCCCCAAACCGCGGCCGTCACCGCAGGTTATTCCGACATTCCGCTTCTGCATGCATCAGCCGGGCTTTGGTGCACACAACTTGATACCGAATTTGGCAGTCCACTTACCTATCTGTACAGCAAGGATCAGAGAAATATATCTGCCGTTCAACTTAAGTCCCATCCTACATTTAGTAAAACCATTTGCGGCTGCAGATCTTTAAATAGTTACTTTGGAGAACGTGGGGGAAAGCTGAAAAATAGGCATTGCCAACAAGTTCCGAGCAGCGGAGGACTTTGCAGACAAGGGGGGGAGACAAGAGGAGAAGGAGAGAAAGAGGGAGGCAGAGGGAGAGGGCGAGGAGGACTAGCTGGGAATGGTTCGCTCCATTAGGAGGGGGCGGAGGAAGTACAGCCTCACGCCCACCACCGGCCCTGACGCGGGGGGATGACACGGACCGGGTTTTTTCCCCTTCTTCTTCTTCTTTTTTTTAAAAAATGTGCACCTTGGAAGAGAAACGCCATTTATAGGCATCACAGGCTGGATTTATCCGCTCTCCCCGTGTCCCCCGCCCCATTAATCGCCGA